TGTGGTGGTATTTGTCCAGACTGCGGACCAACGAGGCAAAAGCATTGGACGAGACGATGCCCGCCAATCTATCAACGAAAAGATCTGAGCGTTTTACAGAGAAGCGTAGTCCGGAGGGATTCCCCGGGGAACACTATAAGCACATCCGAAATGTATTTGATCCGTTGTAGATCTTCGGGCGCTTGGCCCTGGCAGCGTACATGCCAGGGGCTCACTGTAGCCAGACGAGCCATTGGACTCAAGCCGGCCAAGTCCAGCCACTGATGCCGGTCCCAGTGTCCAAAGTCTCAGTCTTCTCATTTCGTCGCCGTCAAGCGTGCCGAAGAGATCCAGCTGAAGGCATCGGGAGTTCTTTTTTGAGAATCCATCTCAGTCCATGTGTCCAGCTGCACAGGGCTTGCCGTTCGCATTTCTAGTGGAATCGCAGCGCCGGTCAGCGATGCCTGCCTGAGATCCATCTGATAACACTGGCATTGGGGGCAAGTCACCAACGGATGGCATAGCACACCTGCCAATCAATTCTTCCGCTTATCTCAATAAAGATCATCAAGCATACGGCCTTTTGTGAATGGTAGGGCGAACTACGTAGACTACGAGTTTTCACCACTGAAACACCATGCAGAGCATCGTGTTTGGCCCTGATCGTCTTTGGCTGGCACGGCCCTGCACCGAGTCGAAGGCACGTCGGCATCCACCACCAAAGAGGCTGCTACTTGAGGTGCTCCAGGACCATGCCTCGTCCGTCTGGCACGAAGCAGCTGCATGAGGAGACTCCGTGCCCAGTTCTTCGGACTGAACCAACGAAGGAAAGGAGATACTCTCCCTAGAACTAACATGGAAGTGGTAAAACCACCCTTCCTTTCGGGGTCATTCTCCACGTAACCATGTTATGGAACAGGGAGTGTAGTGCAACGAACTTCCACAAGGCTCTGTCACTTCCACAGGGTTTGGATGAACTTCCCGGAAAACATCCACGACGAAAGTCATCCGGTTGGCTCCGATTGCGCTGCGGTTCTGCTGACACGGCTGTGTGACTGGTCAGACTCGAACCCAGGGCTAGCACAAGATAAATACAAGCACTAAACAACGCAAGTCATGTTTGGGATATATATAAACGGATGGTCCTTCAGGCTTATTTGGCCGAAAGTGACTTAGGAAGGCGCTTATTGGCGCCGCGGGGAGTAGGGGGAGAATGGTAAGCCGGTGGAGCCGAAGCAACCCGAACAATCAGCAGTCAGGCGAGGGATTCAAAGGTGCTGAGGCGAGTTTGACAGGTTGCTGAGTTTCCAATTACCATGTGTAGCTGCAACCTGAATTGGGAAAACTTCGATTCTGGTGCAGGGGCACGGTAAGTCCTTCGACACGATGTTTGAGCAGATGTCAGTTGTTTCTTTTTCCATATTCTGCAGATGAAGTTGGATGAGTACCCAGCATTCGGATGACAGGCTCGCCACTGCAACTGCCGTCCTTTTCTCGGCCGTTTCTCGGGCCGCCTCGGACAAAGAGGGTTCGGCGAATCGAAGGCTGCCGAGGGGGACCCGCCCCGTCGTTCTGATGCGCAGCGTGTGTCCCATGAAAAATCACATTCTGCAGTATAGGTACTTATAGTGCTAAGATAGAGTCCTATCATGTTTCGATCCTTAGTCCAGCGATTTCTGGAATGCAGGGACGGGGGCAAGAAACACTGCTTGACGACCCATGCGCACGGATCGAACGCAGAGAAAACATGGTCACGGATCTTGCAGGGTCACTCGCGGCCTGTGCCCGAGGAATCCAGAACCAACCCGCAGAATGCGTCGCCTCAAAAGCCTTTTTCATCACCCTTTGGTCGGATGAAACGGTCTCCGATGCCACGCACCCGAAGTTAGAACGACATATCATAGAATCAACTGATCAACTTATAAAGAAATTCAGATGTGGCTTTGGGTCAAAAGGGGGAACCGTGGTCAACAAATTGAGATGCAATAGTTCATCCGCTCACCCTGCTTTCCTGCGTGTCGACGACTTGTTTCGGGCAGTTTCCGTGGGGTGTTCGATTCAGCTCCACTGGGCCCAGAAGCACATGCCCCCCCGCATGAAGAAGTCACTTGGGGGGGGGCATGTATTAATCACTGGCGCGAATGCCGAATGCAGCTACCTTCCAAACCTCCCCAAGGAGGCGACAGTATATAGTTCTAAACCGGAACAAAGTCGGATTCAGAAACTGCACTGTATTCAGAAACTAGTCTTCAGAAACTATTTCGTTGTATTCAGAAACTATTTCGTTGTATTCAGAAACTCTTGTATTCAGAAACTATTTCGTCGTATTCAGAAACTCCTTTCGTCGTATTCAGAAACTATTTCGTCGTATTCAGAAACTATTTCG